AAGAGAAAGGAAGAGAAGATGCGAGAGCTATTCTTGATGGGCTCGGGCTGCTGGTCCAGCCTCGATGCCGGGATGGCACAGGGACTTGGGTCCCGAAGACCAGAGACCCCGCCTGGTTATGTACAAATGCTCCACTGTGGTTTAAACTGGGCGAGCTGGCGAGCAGGTGTGCGGTCCTACAGCTGCAGGGTCACAAGGGGGTGGATGATGGAGGAATCCCTGATGCCTGAGGTGGGTTCCCGGCTCGAACGCGAGTGGTGCGGAGGTTGAGGCCAATCCAATGTGAAGGAGATTGATTGTTGTGAAGAAAAGAGAGCCAGCAGCGTCTATTCTCGTCGAGGCCAATGCAGTCAGAAACGTCGAGCTTCCTTGACGGCGTCGAGTCAAGTTGGCCAGGTCCACTGGTCCTTGATCTCCCCCCCTGGCCAGGGGCCCGGCTTGAGAAAAGACGGTCCATCAATTAGACAGTGAGTCGAGTCGAGTCGAATCGAAATCCAAGGCGGGGATTCCAGTCCACATCCTTGTGTATTCGTATCCAATCAAATTGGTCCGCAACGGCCTGTCCGGCTGTGAGTACGATGGGCGAGCATTGCCATGAACGAAAGGAACCCGTCCCACAGGCTGCATGGGGTCTGGGTGCACAATTGGCCGATTAGGTGCGACGGGATGGGAAAGGAAACGCGGATGCGATGCAGAGCTTGTTCACCAAGACCCCGGCTCCATCCAGAGGAGAAATGAGAGAGGAAATTGCGGCCGCAGAAGCTTGCAGCGCGTTACTGCAGCTAGGGATTGGCACATTGGACATGTGCTTCGGACCCCGGCTCGAGCTTGATACTCGATGCTCAACTCGGCACGACGATGGGGCGATCTCTGAAGCGATGTACCGCCATCATAAGAAGGCAGAAAATCGTGCGGGGGGGCGACATCGAAGACAATCAAGGAAAGGAGCTGACGAAATAGTTTAGGCAAGCAAGCAGGCCTCAGTTGCGCACAAGACAGAGGCGGTTTGGGGGAGACCAATGTCAGGTCGAGAATGGCTGGCCAGCGAGGTTGTTGCATCAGAGGGACGGCAGGGCCGAAAGAGCACAGCGAGCGAAGACGCAGAGGAACAGAGCTCAAGCAAAGCTCAACCATCCACGCGTTTTGGACCCCACTCATCATAAACAGCCCAATCCAACATGGCGGCACAGGTGGAGTCCGGCATCGCGACTGCATTGGTCACCAGGCGCTCCAGCTCCACAACAGCCCGCCAGGGTATCGGCAGGCTAATCCTCTTGGAGGGAAGGTCCAACTTGAAACGGGGTTAGCGCAGCTGACTCAAGACGGCTGGACGGGTGGCTGTTGCCCCCAGAGCGGTTGGACGTCGGGAGGAGAATAGGCAAGAGGTCCATCCGAAAATCGAAAGGAGCAGGAGCAGCAGCTGTGGGCGCATTTCCCGAGGAGCCTGCCCCTGGATTTGCCCGATGAGAAGATCTCTGCCCCAGGCATATGCTTGAGTGGCTGTTGCTGGGCATCCTTTGAGGCATGGGCAGGCAGCTCTTGCCTACCCGCTAGCCGCTATTCGCTATTCGGCAACTACAAACCAGAGGTCAGCGAGGCACCTGCCCAACTGCCCACCTCAAGGCGGGGGTTCAGACCCATACAGCGCCCAAAGGACGGCAAAAGACGCCCCATCAAGGACATCCACCATCATCCAGGTCTAGTGGTCAGCGTTTCCTGAGTCGTTTTCTCGCGTTCCCTCCTCTCATGGTGAACGGCGCTGAAGCTCGTCCCGCCGCTAGGCATCGGGGACAAAGGCACAACCCACCTCACAATGACAATGCCCTTATGAATTTGAGTCCGTCCGTCGATACCCGTCTGCCGCCTGCCGCTTGCCTACTCTGGGGTATGGCGCCATGCGAGCCAGGTGCGGTGGAAGCATATTTGCTTTTGGGTGCTTCGTCGGATACCTGCCGTCGTCGCTGCAGAAGTTTATTTGAATCATCTAGGGCGATTTGTTGAGGTGCCTACATGTTGATTAGAGGCCTTGAAAGCAGTCGGTGGCCGGCGTGCTTCGCTCAGCAAGGTCAACTACCGACAGCCTACCTACATGTACATGTGCAGTCACCCACTCACCACCCCACGCACCACAGCACCAGAGTTGTGCACAGAATAGCAGCGACAGCCCTGTCACTACAGAGGCACTTTACCTGGATGGGTACGACGACAACAGCCATACGGCTCAGTTTCATGTTAGCTGCCACCTGGACCAACGGTTCCAATGACGGGAAAGGCACACGGCTCGTGCCTCTGACAGCCAGAGAGAACCATGTCAGCCCCTGAACAACTGCGGCCTCGTCATGTTGATCCCCCCAAACATCACTTGGGCAAACTGGCGATCGGCGTCGACAGGGAAATTGCGACTTCCATTGTCCCAGGCCGCGCTGTTGCGGCCGAACTCCAGTGGGCCAACATCCGGCACGTCTTCCTGTTGGGCCACAAGTCATCACCGTATCACAGTCACATCAGAACCTGGTCATCAGGCATGTGTTGATTACAGCCCCAGGCCTGTCGCACTTGCCCTGTGTCTCGAGCCACTTTGAGCGTCGCGTCTGGGCAGACCATGATATGACCACGTTCCGCCCAAGAACAAGCTGCGAGAAGATGGGAGCCGCTCCGCGTGACGCGCCCGTCAGATCGCAGTCGATCGCACTACGCATGTCATATGCTGGTGGCTCGCCTGTCTGCACCCTGTGCCGCGTTCTGCAGCCGTGCTTGCCGGTGTCCCCAGATTCGATTGCGCCCCTAATGTAGCACCCCCAACTAGGTATCGGTCAAGCTCGGCTCGCAGCAGACAGCTTCCCCGGTTGTGCAAGGTTGCCCAGGCGAGCAAAGCCTCCAACGAGCCATCCTTCGCAACACAGTACCGCTGAGCTGGACCTGCTCGTTTATTCGAAACTGGCGGGCGAAGATCCATTCTCCCGTGCAAACTAAACGCTGTCAGGAATAACACGCCGTCGGCACCAGTCTATCGCGGCTTTCCCTGTAAAGTATATTTCCAGCCCTTTTGCACGATGGTTTCCCCGATCCCAATGTCCACAACAGGGGAACCTGGACTTCGACTCCCAGTCCGCCGACGCCGCAAAGCTCTGAGGTTTTTTCTACCCAGTAGCAATCATGCATCGCCAAGCCAGTGGCTGCTTGCCTTATCGGCTCTTAAAACAATCCGAGGCTATGGTTTGAGCCTTTAGATCGTGAGGGGTATGTAGCCATGCCTAGCCTCACCACGGGCATTTTCGTATTGAGAATTGGGGCAGGACTCCAAACAAGACCTCGAGAGGAGTGCCACTACCAACACGCATTCAAAGCTGCATCCTGTCGCGCCAGCTTCGTGCCACATGCCCTGGACGGGGCTTTTTGTCTGGACCTCGAATTTTGGGTCTCGACTCGGTCGACGTTTCCGTATCAAGAGCTTCCCCTCATTCCGCATCCCATTTTCCTTTTTCACTTTTATTTCTAATCTGCTGTCACTGTGATGGTCACATTCAGTCTGCATTGCATGACCTCGGAAATCCCTTGCCATATTTGATCGCGCCAAGCACACGCACCACTGCTGAGCTGAGTGTGGCGCTCAGTGCGCCTTTTGGGTCTCTTCCTCGGGCCGAGTCTTGGAGAGTGACCCGCAAGACTAGCCTCGTCCTTCCTACTACGTGCCACAGAAGGTTGACCATGTCCATCGCCCAGCCTTGATCGGATTGTGAGTTGTCGGGTGGTCGCGCCGGTAGCCTGAGACAAGGTTGCCTGCCACAAGCGTTTGCGAAGCCTTCTCAAGAGGCCTTTGGACAGGTAGGGGGTCCATATTGCGTGTTTTTTGTGTTCTCAACGGTCCGCATATATTTGTTGGTTCCAATGCACGCCAGACGTCTTCCCGCCACCATGCGGTTCCGGTTCCGCCTTGTGAAGGTTACGCCTCGGCAGGGTTTGCAGTCGCCCACCGCGTGCGACATGAGGACGGTGGTTAGAAAACAAATCACTTTCTTCGATCGTCCTCATCTTGCAAGAGAGGCGTGGTCGATAACAAGCACGTCATCCTCCGGGGCCTTCGTATGATTCCAAGACAAACAACGAATGCTAGCCTTAGACGCACAAAGTTGTGGTAGAGTTTTCAGTTGAGCATCTCATCGAGATACAAGTCGACTCTGCTGACGATGGGCACACTCAACTAACACTGATCAGCTTTCACACATTATATAACCCTAAACTTGCTGCCAATACTCCATAACTGTGCTCTTTAGCGTGCATATCCAACCGAGCCCCATCGTACGCTCATATGTGCCGGCGGATCACCAGCCCGCTGACAAGCCCCTGGGGTCGCCCGGGTTTGGTATCGAAACCTCCGTTATGGCATTGACGTCCTCGGAACTGAGTGGGATTCTTTGCTAAGTTTAATTGCCGGTGGAACTTCCTGTCAATCAATCCACCCTGTTGTTGTAGGCAGATGCCCAGTCATAGCAAGCTTTGGCCGTTGAATGGAGCGTAGTCAAGCCCGGTGGGTCCGACATTATCATCACGACGGCAAAAGAACGGGGAAGGCTGGCAGAATTATCAGCCATCCATGGGCTTGGTAGCATGGTGAGCTGTGACGGATTGTCACCGCCAGTATGATATAGAGAATCATCGCCTGCACTGATGAACGATCATGGCATTTCCCTGCCACCCTACAATATGATCATTCGTCACAAGGTGATGCAAATGCCATTCAACTGGTCGCTGGTGCGGCTATGTTTGTTCAGTCACCGGGCCCTTAAAATTGGGTAACTCGTAGTTGATATTGGACATGCGACGTTGAAGGACTGTTGACAATAATGACGAGAATACCGCCCGGTCGATTATGTACCCGTCACGGTTTCCCCGGCCTGATATCTTGTCTCTCGAATGGGATTCCGGGTAAGCAGGTAGTCTTGGGTGGGATCCCGACGATTCCCCAACTATTGGACATACATGTTGCATTTGGCATCGTCGATATCGCTCGTGTATACTTCATGCCGACACTCAGTGCTTGTTAAGTGACAATCGCAGCGGGGAAGTCTATTGGGCCAAGCGTTCACACACTTGGTCAGTTTCGTCGTCTCTTTAGCCCGGCACAGCCTCAATCTTGATCTCCTACCCAGGGATGGCGAAATACATCTTGCCGTCCTATTTCCACGAGCTCCTCCTGTCAATTCGTGGTAATCTAAATTGTTTATCAGCAGATATCAATCACTGCGGAGAAGGTTGTCATCTCGTGGCTGCCTCCGACGGACGCACCGTGTTGATGTGGATCTTAGTTAGTCGACATCAGGAGACACACATGAAGAAACCTTCAAGAACATGTCAAATATGCAGAGTGCTGGAAGCTTCAAATGCTATACCAGGTCATTGGCGAAAGTCTCCCTCGGCAAAAGCATGCTTGAGAAGTGGCAGTCGTTTCATCATGTGACGGGGAGATTCGTTGGAGAAGTCCTCAGATGTCTACCGCCGTCACAGGAGTGAAAGGTTGCGTCAGACTCATAAGCCAATATCCGATGCATTTCCAGGCCCGTCTGGCTGATGAGATGGATGTGCGTCGAAGCTCCGAACTTTCGGAGGTGACAGGTGATGCATCCTTGGCGTCACAAACATGCGAAATTGCGAGCACACGCACATGCAGGACGATGAAATCAAGCACGTCGCATCCGCTCCTGAGTGAATCCAGGCAACGGCTCCAGATCCGAGGGAGGGAATGAGACAATCTTCATCCTGCCACCTCGACGCGCAACGGTCGGCGCTCAAGCCCTAGTCGCAAGGGAGCCGCGTTGCTATTGTAATTTCAGGCGATCTGGCATTTCTTGAACGGAGTACTGATGACCGACAGCTTATTCTCTGACCTCTGCAACTGGGCACTGCTCGTTGCTCAGTATTTGAGACTCCAAGCGAAGGGGGCCCGGAGGATGGGCGGTACTCGTGGCCGTCTACCTGATACCGAGCTGATGACGATTCACCCCCGATTGTTGTCTGAGTCATATCAGAAGGATCCTCGGATGGGAACATACTACCCGAAGGAAGGAAGATGTATGCATGCTTGATTAAGATGGGGCCACGAAGCATGTCAATCACTGTGTTGGGGCCAACAGAGTTGGGCAACAAACTGACCTGAGGTAGGCCGATTAAGCAGATCGTTGTTGCAACAGGCAAAGAGGACGACCGAGAGCCTTGAAGCAAGAATGACTCACAAGTCGCAAGCTTTACGGGCAGCCTAGAAGTCATTCGACCCAGGCCGGGGATGCAAAACCCATGCCAGGCCGGCCTTGGCGTAAAGTCGCCGGCCCTAACCGTTCCCGAGCCGAGGCATCGGCGCCGGTCGCGGTGGGGAGCCCCTCACTTGCACGCCTCCGCCCGCCCGACAACGTCATCATCCAGTCAGTACAGGCTCATGGCAGCCATCTTCGCACATAAAAACACGTCAACCTTGGCCTCGGCTCCCGGAGGAAACCTTTCACTTCATTCGAGCACCGCCATCATGTCGTCCTCTTCCTCCCCCGAGCTTATCAAAACCCAGGTCAAGGCTATGACCTTCGACGTCTTCGGCACCACTGTCGACTGGCGCTCCTCCGTAACCGACGAGCTCACCAACCGGGCCGCCTCCAAAAGCGGAAAACACCCCGACGAAGACCGCATCGCTAACCTCCGCCGCCTGTCGCGCGATGACTGGGGCCGTTTCGCGCAGCAATGGCGTACCACGTACAGCACCTTCGTGCGAGAGTTCATCCCGGGCGAGACACCGTGGAAGGACGTCGACACGCACCACTATGACGCCCTGGTCGATCTGTTGGCTGAGTGGCAGCTCGAGGGCATCTACTCGGACGAGGAGGTGAGAGAGTTGAGCCTGGTCTGGCACCGGCTACGGCCGTGGGACGAGGCCGCCAGGGGCTTGCGGCTGCTGGGCAGGCATTATGTCACGTCAATGCTGTCCAACGGGAACGCCTCTCTGCTGCGGGACCTGGACGACTTCGGGAGTCTTAATTTCCAGCGGCGGCTGTCGGGAGAGGACTTCAAGGCCTATAAGCCCAATCCCAAGGTGTACCTCGGAGCCGCACAGAGCCTTGAGATGACGGAGCCAGGGCATGTTGCCATGGTCGCCGCTCATCTCGACGATCTGGAAGGGGCCCGAAAGTGTGGGCTGAGGACCGTTTACGTTGAGAGGCCGGGCGAAGAGGCTTGGAAGGATGATGAAGATCGATATCGAAATGCCAAGGACTGGGTCGATATCTGGATTGGGGAGAAAGATGGTGGCTTTGTTGAGCTTGCGAGGAGACTGGGTGTCGAGCAGTGACACTAATCAGCTGACAGGCCAATGATGTGTCAATGACAATATTCAAATTCAACGCTGAGGTGTACGAGCACGCTTTCACATAGATAGAGACAATTTGTCGCGGTTTTCCGCCTTACGAAGCACCGATTGGAAACGCTAAGTCAGAAGAAGACAAAACTTGCCCTTTACGCTGTGAAATGCTTGGCGAAGGGATGGACGGCAATTGCAAACTATCTCGTGTGGTTGAGAAGTCATGATACATGTCGGAGGAAACACCATACAATACCACCTTGGCATTGCTTCATTGAATACTTGTGTTGCAATCGACTCTGTGCTGCAGCAGTAGTGATGGCCGAAGAGGTATTGCTTACGGTCTGCTTTAAAAGTACACCAAGTCAAGACGGTCATTCGAAGGAGAATCCTGGTGTAGTCAGCCAAGGGTGGCATGTTCCAGCCTGGAATGGGTTCAACCAACCACCTATGTCCATGATGGCAGGCCAGAGCCGAGAGCATTGGAGTCGGCCATGACAAATGCAGAGGGCCTGCCGACTTGATATCTGTTGTCTTCCGGAAACGATTAAATTGGACCGAAGAGCGTAGGAGAGACATGGGTATGAGACATTTCACATGAGATTGGAAAAGACAGCTGACACCAAGCAAATGTCCGTCGCCGCTTTAGATGTTTGAAAGTAGCAGGGAAGAAACGTGCCTGGTTAACGAGATGGCATGTATATGTACTTCAGGGTGAGCCTGCGACTGGAGAGACATGCCAACCAAGGAACGAGTTCAACGGCGTGGCTGCCTGGGCAAGGCATGCGCGTCAAGCTGAAAAAGTGACACTGTCTCGAACTTACGGTCGGCATATTATTGGAATGTCGAATCAAGGCGGGCCAGAGCAAGCGAAATATGGACCAACAGGCACCACCGAGTAGCACTCCGGCAGGGCAACAATGGGCTTGCGCACAGCTATGTGTGGCATCAATAAGGAGAAGAAGAAGTATCCGTTATGACCCGTGACCTCCAGAGAGCCTGCAAAGTCAGCAGCAGATCGAACGAATCCGATAAGGCTTGAGAAACTGTTGCCAACCTCAAAATTGGGACCGTACCTCCGATAATCCCGTGCGGTTTGTGTAGACAAAGAATACAAGGCGGGGCACGATCCATTTGGTTGCTGGGCAGTCAACGGTCAGGCATGCGTGAGGAACGGGTGGCAAAATCAACCGCATTGTCTCGGAAAGTGTCCCTTGAACACCGTTGCCCCTCCATAGGCATGTGGTTGGCCATGCCCCGCGTCAACCCAGGGTGGGCGGCGTCTGGGGTAAAGCCTGACGAGCCAGGCAAACTGGGGTACTGAGCCGTTCGCAGATCGTCCGGTGCCTTAGAGGCCAGTGGTGTAGATATACCAGTAGCTCTTTGGGCGAGCAGTGCCGACAAGGCGACGTTGATAAAAAAACGGACTGACCATGCCCGAGTACTGAGTGATGCCAGAATCTCAACTGGTGGAGTGGAAGCGACACAATGACGCCAATTGGGCTGTTGGGCAGCATGTGACTTTTGCGTGTGGCCAATTTGGTCAGAGAAAGCCGGTTGATGCTCCCAGGCTCAGGTCAAGTCCAGTCCATTGACAGGTGACCCTGGCAGACTCAAAGCTTGAGGGAGATGGCAGAAAAAAGGGGACTTTCTAAGTGTCTAGTTGATTCGCTTGCACACCCTCTTTTCCCCAAGCGCCAGACGTGCGTCGTAATGTCATATGCACGGGCGGGCTACATGCTCAGCACAGCACATGCAAAAGCACGTCGTGGAAGCATGTGTGTGTGTCCTCCACTTCCTACTCAAGGGAGGGGAAGGACCAATTGAGCGGGAGGAGGAAGAGTCGAGGGCGACTCATAGGTCGTGAGAAGTGGCAGGTTGCAGGTCGTACACCAGGTCCGAAGTCGTGGTCCAGCGACGAGGTCAAGTCATGTGGCTCTAGAAGAATGCACAGATTGATGCGTCAGCCGTGTGATGCTCGTGGTTTGTTAATAGACCAGTGTCGTTGTGGCCGCATTCGTGCTTTCCAAGTTGACGTGAGGCGGCCATTGATGCCAAGAGCTTATTAGCGAGGATAGCTGGAGGGGTGGTGCTTGTCGAGGGCGAGAGGCGTGTACAGTGGGCGACAAGTCTGTGGGGAGAGGGGGGGAGGGGGCCGAGGGGCCTGCCATGAGGGGAGCCCTAAAAGATGCGGATAGTCTGTCGATGCGCGGCGGTTGCTTGCCTGGCCGACCGTGTCGCGTGCATGGCATAGCATGGCATGACATCGCATGGGATTGTATCGCATGGAAACGAGAAGGATGAGTAGGGATGGTGGAGGTAGGATTGAGAGATGGGATGGATGGTGGACGTATATTCATCCGGACTGCCTCCTTACCGCGCCAGCCTGTTCCTTGAACATCTCTCAACCCTCGCAAGCGCAATGGAGTTTTGCTTGTTGTTGGACCAGAGACCGTTCGGCGAACGACTCAAGTGACTTCTAGGGGAAAGGGTGATTCATGCAAGCAGAACGCAGTTGCCACTTCTGGAGTGGACAAGAAGGCGCAGCCGACACACTTTTTGTGCTGTCGTTGGTGGTTGCGGTTGATATTGCCGTCCCTGTCACGAGTGCCGTTGCCCGATATGCTTGGACATCTCGATGGCGATTGTCATGATTCGCCCGAGGCAGGTCATCGGTCAAGCAAATACCTCAAGGTGAAGTACCTAAGTTGGTAGTGGGCACATACAACGTTCATTGGCAGTCGCAACCCGAGGCTGGAGCACCTTTTTTAACACAAGATCAACGAAGCCGGAGGGAGGGACCATAGTGATGGCTTCCACCCCCAACTGCCTTTGGAATCACAGGTAGACAGGGAGGTGTGAGGGTGAGTTATGATCAGGGAGAGCCTGTCGGTCCGGGTTGCGGGGGTTCTCCTCTCTGTTGCTTCCTGCCTCTCCTCGAATGGTGCTTTTGGCGGTACCTTACTGCACACGGGAAGGGGCCTGTCAGTCCACAGCCAGCAGCATCCTTTTTGCTCCCTCCTCCATCCCATCTTGCCAGCCGGGTCTCCACCCATGGATCCGGTCTCTTCCTGTTCCATCCTCACATACCTTACTTGACAGGGTAGATGCACCTTTGCGCAAGGCGGGGCTCTCTGGTCTGTCCATTCCGCACCAGCACTACCTTGAGACTAACAAGCACCAAGAACCAGGCACTAACCAAGCATCAAGCAAAGCACCGAATCCAACAAACGACCCGACAAATCAAGCTCGTAGACCTCGATCATGGCTTCGGAACTTGGCAACCGAGCATTGATTACACATTTCCAGGCTTCACTAGATGCGGCCCGTGGCCATCTCGCCAGGCTCGTCCGTCGCCCACCGCCCACATCTTCCAGGCACCTACCTGCTTCAGTATCTGCCGTTACTACTGTCCCTCACTCGCCTGAGCTCAGCTCCAGGGATCAAGGAGAGCCACTGCAACCAACCAACCAGCCTGGAACCAGTCGCAGCCGGGCTTCGAGGCCTCAAGACCCAGTACCGGTACCGGTACCAGAGCTAAAGCGCTAGGTACCTCGACCCGAGCAAGACCGTCTCCACCCCTACCTTACCAACACAGTAAGGTACCAGGTGAGGTACCTTAGCTCGTCTCCGCCCCTTTGCTGAGGGTGCCTCATGCTGTGCCTAAGGTTGTCCCGTCTTCCAACTTCCAGTGCCTGTCCGGTGCTGCCCACCTCCTCTGCATGTCCTCCAAGTCCCTAGTTCCTAACCCCCCCTACCTACCTAGCCCCCCCCCCCCCGGCCCCAGTCTCTGGGTCTTCCAAGTGAGTCCCGTCCCACGTCTTGGCTCCGAATTCCATCAGACTC